GAACTCTTGGCACACTTGTGCATCATCAGCATTTGCAAAGCTGAGGCAGGAGGATCACCAGTTTTGCTGAGACTCTGTCTCAAAAGAAAAAAGCCTGCATTTACCCCAGGTCACCTATTAGGTGACAACTGCATGAGCTTCCCCAGCTAATGGTCAAGTGCTGGTCCAGGCCTTGGGCACTGACACATACTGCAATAGTCCCACACTGTAGATGAGGAAACTGTGACTCAGTTTACAGCTGGTCCTGTGAGAATCAGGGCAGAATCCTGGCTTTCCTGTTCCAACCTATGGAACAGGCTCTGGGGAGTGCCTGGAGGTCCTTGCTGGAGGCTGGTAGGGGTACAGAACACCTTGGTACTTTCAGTGGTCTGCCAAGCAGAAACTGTCTCCTGAGTATACTTTCACAGAGCTTCAGCCAGCATTCATGTGGCAAAAGGAAGGCTCTTGGGGCCAGGGACAAACCACAAGGGGAGGCAGGGACAAGAGAAGGCCCAGAGCAGAAGTAGGTCAATGGTACAAAATCTGCCAGGTTATCTTGGTTCTTGGCACTGTTTGAGGGGCTGTGAGATCATCCTACTTTAAACATGGGCAAATAATGGCAGTCAGGGTCCCTGGAGGTATGTGATTTCTGGGGCTGGAGAGATGGCTCAATGGTTAAGAGCATTTGCTGTTCTTGCAGAAAACCTGGGTTTCCACCAGCCATATGATGGCTCACACCATCTGTATTTCTAGTTTCGTGGGATCTGACACCCTCTTCTGGCTTCCTCAGGTACTAGGCACACACGTGGCACATATATATGTACACATTCAGGCAAATACTCATACACTGAAAGGGGGGAAAGGGTGTGGTTTCTGAAGCTGGCTAGTACAAGGATACTGAGTCAAAGGAACCCAGAAAATCATCAAGGCCAGGCCAGCTCAATAACTGGCTGGGGAGCCAGAAAGGAAGCACAAAGAAACCCCTGCACTCCAGTTCATAGGCTATAACCACCCAGGAAAAGACCTCCATGACCCAAGCAGCCAGCAGGAGGGCACTGTAGACAAACTGCAGCACTGAGAGGGCCAGAAACGGACACTGGAGACTCCCAAGTCCCCTGGGCACCTTTTTCTTCCCACCACTCCAAAGGCACAATTCAGGTTCCATTCAGACCCCTCTGGCTTCGAAGCTTTGGTTTCCCCATCGATAGGAGACAAGGGCATGAAGGGAGGATCTGAAGGCCCCATCAAGTTCTACCTCCAAGGAGGATCTTCCAGAACAGCCATGCCATTTATGACCAGGAACACAGAGAGGTCTGGACACATGCTTACACATACCGATAGCTTCTAAGGGTGCTCTGCCCATTCAAGGAAGCGTCCAGCAAGTATAAGGAGCTTGAACCTCCCTGGCCAGCAACCATTGGGCCCCACGGCTGCTTTACCTCTGTGAGTGCTAGCAGGACCCCAGGTCTCACTTCAGGAAGCAAACAGCAAAGAGGCAGGCAGGGCCATTCTAGATCAGGCTAGCCTATCTCAGGGTCTCTAGATTCAAAGATCCATAGGGCAACAGTGGGCAAAGTTGTCCCCACTCTGCCAGTCCAGTTGATTTTGTTTTGTTTGGGGCCCACAGTGGTTTTTGTCCTAGATGTCCCCAGGTCTGTCGTCCAGGCTAGGCTCCATCCTATGGAATCAAGATGTGACCAGCTTGGTTTCCAACATCTGTGAGATTCGTAGGGTATCTGATAGATAACTGTCAGGAGACATTACAGATCACAGAGACAACATTGGAATTCCCCCAATACATACAGTCTCACTGTAACTCAGATTAGTCTCATGCTCATGGGCAATCCACCTGTTCCAGCCTCCCCATCACTGGGATTACAGACTCCTAACTCCATGTGTTTCTACTTAAAAGATAAAGTATCTGGGTGAAGAAAGAAGCCCATGCAGGTAAGATGACATACTATATACTTCTTTTAATTTTTTGTCCCCAGACAGGGTCTTTCTATGTAGCCCAAGCTGGCCTTGAATTCATGACACTCCTATTTCAGCTTCTTGAGCCATTGTACTTAGCCTAGGTATCGTTTAAAAACTGCTGATATCAGTGGTGGAGAGTGGGGTCATTAACACCAGAAATGAATGGAAATGATGGGTCTGAATTCCACACTGCAAAGGGAAAAGATTTGAAAGCTAAGGTCCAGGGCCCGAGGACAGGTCAGCACTAGGCAGGAAAAAAATGGGACATGGAGGGGACAGTTTAGCTTATGTACCTACTTTTTTCATTGGCAGCCCAGATCTGAGGCTGATTTTCTCAGTTCTTACAGCCTTTGAGAGGTGAAATGCTGGCTGGGCTAAGATAGAAACTTCTGCCTTTCTAACCATTAACATGCTGTTCTTTTCGTGTCTCCAAGACTGGTGGCCACAGCATCCTGTATATTCCTATCTCAAGCCATGACTTGGCCCCTGAAGATGTCCTTGTTTCATTCAACCCATCCAAAGTCAGTTGTTTCCAAGGCCACCCCAGAATCTGAGCATAGCATCCTGTGTTTGGGACATGGTGAGCGCCTGGCAGCCAGCAGAGGTCGCCCCACTGCCACAGAAGCACCACTCAGCGATGCTTGCCTCCAGGTGCTTTAAAAAGTCCTCATAAACCCTTAGTGGCTGCAGCTCTAGCCCCCAGGAAGGTTGGGGTTCTCTATCAACCAAAAGCAATGCCTGGTTATTT